AAAAAAAAAAAGAAAAAAACCAAAGCTGGAGGCATCATGTTACTGGATCTCAAAATATACTACAAAGCTATAGTAATCAAAACAGCATGGCACTGACATAAAAACAGACACATTAATCAATGGAATAAGATGGAAAGCCCAGAAATAAACCCACGTATTTATAGTCAATTGATTTTTGACAAAGATGCCAAGAAAATATAGTGGGGAAAAACAATCTCTTCAATAAATGATGTTTGGGACAACTGGATATCCACATACAGAAGAATGAAAATAGATATTTATCTCACCCCTCATACAAAAATCAACTTGAATTAAAGACTTAAACATAAGACTTGAAACTGCACAACTACTAGTAGAAAACGTAGAGAAGAGGTAGTATGTGCCTCCTCCACAGAGGTGAACTAGAATAGTAAGCACATTCTCACATTTTAAGCAGGTTGTCTAGGAGCAAATGCTAGCATTCACCAGGGAAGTAATGGGAAGCATCATGAGTGGGTCTTGGGCCTAACAGGGAGCTGCTTGGAGATTACACAGAGATGTTGCTCCAGAAAGGGAATCCACATGGAATTCCACAGGTATCTGAGCCTAGAGCAGCTTGAGCTGGGTGCCATTCTGAAAACCTAGATACTGGGGAGCTGTGGGCATGCCTACAGCCACTGTGTGGCTCTGAGGAGGGATAGAGGAGCCCAGGTACTCCCAAGACCCCTGGAAAGGTCCCCACTGCTCTGCTTGTGAGACTGAGACAGGATCACTCAGCATTTTTCTCACAGTTTCTGGCCCACACTCAATTAGTGTGGGCCCCGCTGCCTGGGTGGGGCCCCAGGCTTTCTGGTCACGGGCTCAAGGTGCCATTTTGAGAGTTTAACACTGGGCTGCATCTGGTCTTTGGGCTGAATTTGGGCTGAGTACAGCCACCACCTGGCTAGGGAGGGGGAGGGAAACCAGGCTTTCCAACACCCACTAGGACAACACCCACTATCCTGCAACAGGTGGCTGTGAGACCAGGTCTCCAGCAAACTGCATGCACTACACATGTGGCCTGCCTGAGAAGGGCCCCACCCTCTCTGGTCACAGTCCCAAGGAGCCATTTTGGGAGTTTAAAGCCAGGTAGTGCCTTGCCCTTGGGCTGAGTTTCAGCTGAAAAGTTGTAGCTCCACTCAGTGGAGGAGGGACAGGGGAGCCCAAGCTCTCCTACCTATACATAGGACAGTTCCTACTGCCCTGCTGTGGGCTGCTGTGAGACTGAGATGTGACTATATAAAGCAACAGAAATTATAAATTATTGATATTTCCAAGGAGGAAGAGATATCAAAAAGTGGTAAAATCAGGGTTTTAGTGTACCTGTTACCTTAATAGTGTACATTGTACCCAATATGTAATTTTTGATCCATCCCTCACCCCCTTCTCACCCTCCTCAATTCTTAGTTTCCAGTGTCTATTATACCACTTTGTATGACCATATATACCCATTGTTTAGTTCTCATTTATAAGTGAGAATATGCAGTACTTGTTTTTTTTTTCATACTTTTTATTGGGAGTACTTTTGTAGTTAAACATGTACCTGTCAATGAGGCTTTATTTAGGATAAATTAGCAGGTATCTCCTTCCTTCAATAGAGGACACAATGGCATTTTTACCTTTACATTTCTCATAATATCTAGGAAGCATCCCTTTATTTTCTATTCTCTTTTTTTATTTCAGCATATCATGGGGGTACAAATGTTTAGGTTACATATATTGCCATTGGCCCACCCAAGTCAGAGCTTCAAGCGTGTCCATCCCCAAGACGGTGCACACTGCACCCATTAGGTAAGAATATACCCATCCCTTCCTCCCCCCTCCCACCTGCCTGACATCCCATGGATGTTACTACTATATGTGCACGTAAGTGTTGGTCAGCTAATACCAATTTGATGGTGAATACTTGTGGTGCTTGTTTTTCCATTCTTGTGATACTTCACTTAGTAGAATGGTCTCCAGCTCTATCCAGGATAATATAAAAGGTGCTAGATCACCATTGTTTTTTTGTGGCTGAGTAGAACTCCATGGCATACATATACCACATTTTATTAATCCACTCATGCATTGAGGGGCACTTGGGTTGTTTCCACATCTTTGCAATTGTGAATTGTGCTGCTATAAACATTAAAGTGCAGATGTCTTTTTTATAGAATGTCTGTTTTTCCTTTGGGTAGATGCCCAGTAATGGGATTGCTGGGTCAAATGGTAGTTCTACTTGTAGCTCTTTGGGGTATCTCCATATTACTTTCCACAGAGGTTGTCCTAGTTCGCAGTCCTGCCAGCAGTGTATCAGTGTTCCTATCTTTCCACATCCACACCAACATTTATTGTTTTGGGATTTTTTTTTGTTTGTTTTTTTGTTTTGAGACAGAGTCTCACTGTGTTGCCCGGACTAGAGTGCTGTGGCGTCAGCCTAGCTCACAGCAACCTCAAACTCCTGGGCTCAAGCGATCCTCCTGCCTCAGACTCCCAAGTAGCTGGGACTACAGACATGCGCCACCATGTCCGGCTAATTTTTTCTACATATTTTTAGTTGTCCAATTAATTTCTTTCTATTTTTAGTAGAGATGGGGTCTCGCTCTTGCTCAGGCTGGTTTCGAACTCCTGAGCTCAAACAATCCGCCCACCTCGGCCTCCCAGAGAGCTAGGATTACAGGCGTGAGCCACCTGCCCGGCCCTGTTTTGGGATGTTTTGATAAATGCCATTCTCACTGGAGATAAGTGATGTCTCACTGAGGTTTTGATTAATAATAGACATTCTAATTGAATATTTTTGAAGTATACAAGAAGCTTATACCCATACTATGACTTTGTATGGCCATGACTTTGTATGAACAATTGTAAATACGATCAAAATATAAAATATGTTTGAGCAACTAGAAGATATTCAATAAACACAGATAATAGTCACTTTTATATTATGAAAGCACAAAACTTTATTTTCACAATTACAGAACATGAAAAAAATAAAAAAATTGTTTTTAACATTCAATAGAAAAAATTCCAATTATTTTGTCCAAATTACCTGCATAATTATTACCTGATTTTTAAATTCTGTTTCCCTTTTCTCTAGGCCCACCCAATTTTTTCACACTTTGCCTAGATTTTACCTTCAGTAGTCAGCTATGCTAAGCAACCAAATGAACCTTGGAGTGTCCTTCCAAATTATGAACTTTTTTTGATATGTTGATCTATCCTCCTAATTTTTTTTTTTTTTGAGACAGAGTCTCACTCTGTTGCCCTGGCTAGAGTGAGTGCCGTGGTGTCAGCCTAGCTCACAGCAACCTCAAACTCCTGGGCTCAAGCAATCCTCCTGCCTCAGCCTCCCGAGTAGCTGGGACTACAGGCATGCGCCACCATGCCCGGCTAATTTTTTCTCTCGTTGTCCACATCATTTCTTTCTATTTTTTAGTAGAGACGGGGGTCTCGCTCTTGCTCAGGCTGGTCTCGAACTCCTGAGCTCAAACGATCCACCCGCCTCGGCCTCCCAGAGTGCTAGGATTACAGGCGTGAGCCACCGCGCCCGGCCTTATCCTCCTAATCTTTAACATTCTTCTTCATTTATTTTTCTTGTAGAGATGGGGTCTTGCTCTGTTGCCCAGGCTTGTCTCTAGCTCCTGACCTCAAGTGATCCTCCTGTCTTGGCCTCCCAAAGTGCTGGGATTACAGGTGTGAGCCACCATGCTAGCCTAACATTCCTCTTTAACAAAGGGATAATATAAGTGTGGATAGCTGGCAAATTTACCCATTCACAATTTAGTTATCCTGCCTCTAAATTCGGGGTTTATTCTCCTTCAGCATATGTCTAAATACCATCAATGGCAATGTCAGTAGAAGACATCTGGCAATTGGAAATCTTGTTTTTTCTATTCTGTAGTCATAGCACATTTCAAGATTCAGTGTATCCAAATAATTTCTGTAAAGGCTAGCAGAAATGTTTTCTGTGGATAAATTAGTTTCAAAGGAAGAATATAATTGTCTCCACTGATTTTGAAGTTGCCCCATTAGCTCTTTCTACTCATTCTTGAAAAATGGACATTTTTAAATGAGAAAGAGAGCTCTGGAGTACATAATTTTTTTTACATCACTATTTAAGTTTCAGTAGGGAATCTTTAATTACTCCTGAACAATTGGGGACTAGGTACTGAAGTGTTCCCCAGCAAGTGAGAAATAGTTTCTGGGTGTTTAGATTCCACATCATGAGAAGACCACATGGCCAGAGATACAACTTTTACTTATTTACAATAGGTATTAGGCATTTTTGAGAATCTCTGTAGTATACAATAACTGAATAAATCCTTCTGAAATAAACTTGTAAGAAACAGAAATAAATTGCTTGATTTTGGCTTTTGTATTATAAGAGAAAAAATGTTCCTGGTGAAAGATTAACTTGATGAATCTACAAAATAAAAAAACCCCACATATTTGGCAAATTCATTAATGTTGCTCCTGGGCTATTCAGATTTAAATTTAATTTATCTTAGCCTCAAAAAAAAAAATCAATGGTTTCTTACTTTATGAGAAGTGCAATCCGTTTTACTGTGTCTTTGAACGCGTCTTTCACTTGTTTGTTTCGAAGCGTGTAGATAAATGGGTTAAGCAAAGGCGCAACTGAAGTAGTGAGCACAGACACCACCTTATTAATGGCCACTCCTTCCTTTGCTGAAGGTTTGATGTAGATGAAGATGCAGCTGCCGTAGGTGATGGAAACCACAATCATATGGGAAGAACAGGTAGAAAAGGCCTTTTTCCTTTGTTGGGCAGAAGGGAATTTTAGAATGGTCTTGATGATGTATGTATAGGAGAGGACTACACATACTAGGGTAATAATGAGTGTGAGCACGGCAAAACTCAAGACAATTCTCTCTATAAATGCTGTGTCTGAGCAGGTTATTTGCAGAATGGGAGATGCATCACAGCCAAAATGATCAATCACATTTGAGTCACAGAATTCTAGCTGAAGGCCTATGCCAAGAGGTGGGAGGATGATTAACAGGCCAGCAAGCCAGCAGCAGAGGACGAGTGTAGTGCAGACTCTGTTGTTCATGATGGTTGTATAATGCAGTGGCTTGCAAATGGCCACATAGCGGTCATAGGACATGGCAGCCAGGAGAAAAAACTCTGTCGCTCCAAAGAGGACAACAAAAAATAATTGGGTAGCACAAGCATTATAGGTAACAGTATTATCTCCAGTTGTCATAGTGTATAAGAATCTAGGAATACAGACAGTGGTGAATGAGACTTCTAAGAAAGAGAAATTTCGGAGAAAAAAGTACATGGGAGTTTTAAGATGGGAATCCAAAAGTGTGAGGGTGATAATGCTGAGGTTCCCAGCCACACTTAACATGTAGGTGACAAACAAAAATATGAAAAGCACAACTTGTAGTTTTGGGTCATCTGTCAGTCCCATCAGGATGAATGTTGTTATTGCTGTGTGATTTCTCATCACTGCCTTGAGCCAAGTCAAGGGCAATTGTTCCTGAAGAGAGAAGTGCCATAAGGAGCTGACATTGGAGCCTCAATGAAAACATCCCAACAAGCCACCTCACATGCACTTAAACTTCTTCTGCTTGATAATGAATTTAATAACATAGCTGTGCCTTTGGCATCTTACTAGGAGGCTTCTACAGGAAATAACTAATACAAATCTTCGCTTATAATTCTCTGATTGGAAAGCATATTTATAAAGGTGTCAAATAAAAACAAGACAAAACATAAATCATAAGTCTGGTATGCAGTATCTCAACAATATTGCCTTGAGGCACGAATATTATTTTTTCTTATCCTGGAAGAAATTATGACAATTTTGAAGTGTTTTTCTACCATCCTCATCTTTCTTTGTTTTCCCTACCATACCCGAAATGCCCCATTTTCAAAACCAAGAAAATGATTAACTAGTATTTAAATGCTGTTAAATAGTATTTTATGCTGATCATTTCATATTGTTATGATGAATTTTAACAGCAGCACATTCCTTTTAAAGTGTTAGTTTTAGCTCTTTGTACTTCAAATGATCTCTAAATAAGGAGATGAAAAGTTTAAAGTATAAAAGTGCATCTTTGTTTTTTTTTTTTGAGACAGAGTCTCACTCTGTTGCCCGGGCTAGAGTGCCGTGGCATCAGCCTAGCTCACAGCAACCTCCAACTCCTGCGCTCAAGCGATCCTACTGCCTCAGACTCCTGAGTAGCTGGGACTATAGGCATGCACCGCCATGCCCAGCTAATTTTTTCTATATATTTTTAGTTGCCCAGCCAATTTCTTTCTATTTTTAGTAGAGACAGGGTCTTGCTCTTGCTCAGGCTGGTCTGGAACTCCTGACCTTGAGTGATCCTCTCGCCTTGGCCACCAGAGTGCTAGGATTACAGTCGTGAGCCACTGCGCCCGGCCTTGTTTTGTTGTTCCCATATTTAGGTGAATGAAAGTATTTCTAAGCCAGTTTTGGAATTGCTTAGGAGAGGGTTCCTAAACCCTTTAAAGTGGTATAAAGAAAATTTTTGTAGAACACGACCATAAACCTGACTTATTTGTTTTGATGGTCTGGGTCATGGACAGAGCCCAGAGGAAGAATCTGTGGTATTTGCTTCCTTTGCCAGCCAGGCTCACCTGTGCTCTTCGCACTAAATCTTGAGTCTCTCTCAGGCTTAACTTCATGACCTCTTCTTTGAAAAATTTCGGCTGCTTCCTTCCTCAAATCACCTCTCCCCAACAATTTACCAATTACCTGCCTAACGTAGCTGCTCTTGTTCCCTGAGTTTTTGATATATCTACTTGTCCAAGTAATATTTATGAACAAACGGACCTGTATAAATCAATCTTGTAAACAAATTATAAAATACCCTACCTTTCTCTTTGGCATTGATTGCTGTCCATTTCAGCACCCCTCTGCAGTTTCAAGCCTTCCTGTGCTCAAATTTATATTTGTTCAGGAATCCCATTAGATGAGGCTCAGGGATTTCCCCTCTTCTTCATGTCAAAACTTACCCTCATTGAGATTTATATTTCAAGCAGCTGCTCTCAGATATCCGTCCTGTAAAAGAAAATGTGATAAATTCATTCTCACAGAGATACCAGTAGTTAACAATGACTTAATACATGGATCTGCTATATGTCTTTTTGTCTTATTAGTAGGGATTAATTGTTCAGTGAGCAATTTTAGGAACAACTCAAGGCTTTATAGAAAAACCCTACCAACTTTTACATGAGAGGAAAACCAATTTCCTGTGTATTAAACAATTGCCCCAATTGTACCTGACATGCAGATTCCCAACTGAGAATCAAAAATACTTTAGTTTTCTCTTCTTTCCTACTGCTCAAGTAAATAATCAATATTCATTCATTCAAATAAATATTTAATGAATACTTATTATTTACAGAGCGTAATATCAGAGACTGGAGATCCAACTATAAATAAGTTGCTGCCTAAAAGGGCTTTCAGACTACAAGTGGCAGATAGTATTTCATTTTAGTGCATTCTCAGTGACATAGTAATACAAGATAATGTGACAATGCAACTTTGGATTTGGGGAAATAACTACTTGTTTCTTGACAACTGTTCTTAGCTATAGTGGTAGCTATTCATATTTTCCTATGTTTGCTCAGTTTCCTTAGTCTCTTTTCTTTCTACAAAAGTTGGCAGTGTCAGCTGTCACCTAAGGCTGAGTTAGCAAGGCACATTGCTTGGGGGTCACAGACATGGTTTTTGAAACAGAGAAAACTGTCCCCTCCCACTCCCGTTCTTGGCTCATGGGAGAAATAATTTACTGGAGAGATGGTATCTTGTCATGTACTTGCAAAGGGAAGGCTCTGATTGACGGATAAGGGTGTTAGGCCAGGTTCATTTCTGCACTCCTGATTTTTCTCCCTCCTTTTTTCTCTTCCTTTCTTTGTAGACTACTTTAAATCTTTACACCTGATCTTGACATTCTCATTCCAGTCCTCCTTCTTCTAGGACATTCCTTGCTTTTAAAATTATTCCCTTATTCTCTTATCATATCTTTTATTCTTCTATATTGTTAGGAAAGAGTGGTGAACTCAATAATATTAGCATTTAAATGCTTATTATTTTGATGTTTAAAGTGCCTAAAAATGTATTGCCCTTCAGGGACATTGCATTTTAATTTGCAAAGATTGTTGAATAAACATTGCTTTTAACAACGCAGTTAAGCTTATAGTGTCAGAACCTTTGGATATAAGATGACTTCCTTTCAAGTTTATCTACCAGAAATCACACCAGTGTTCTATGTTATATTAGGAAAATTTTCTTGGGAATCTGAGAGTTATTTGTTTTTTAGTTCAGAGCAATCAAAGTTTGAAACAATTTTATTAAATAAATAAATTTTGCGCCACCTTCTTACCATAAAGAGTGTTTTCAATTAACATTAACAGGTAGTCCTTGATTACTTAACCTATGCAAAACTGCCTACTCTCACTGTTACTTTGGTAGCTGTAGGAGTGATTAAGACTCAGTTTTTTCCTTCATAAATTCTGTATTTAGTGAATTTTAAAATATATTTGAGATACTTTGACCTTACTTTTGCTTGGAACGAACCTCATTTAGTCTTCATTTGGGACTAAGGCTGCTTGTGGACTGGATAGTTGAGGTTAAGAAGAGTCTGAGTAGTACTGTGCCTCCCCCAAAAGTGGCAAAAAGTACTTAAATAACTAATGGATATTAAGTGAGGTTTCCTGTAAGGAAAGTTTTAATATTGATATTATCTGCCTTATACGACAATTTTTGATAATTTTGGGTGGAGGTATGTTTTCCACAGACTTTTATATTTCTGTCTATTAAATACTCATGCACTGCTGCTGGGAATGCAAACTAGTACAACCTCTGTGGAAAGCAATATGGAGATACCTCAAAGAGACGCAAGTAGAACTACCATTTGATCCAGCAATCCCATTACTGGGCATCTACCCAAACGAAAGAAAGACATTTTATAAAAAAGACATCTACACTCGAATGTTTATAGCAGCACAATTCACAATTGCAAACGTGGAAACAACCCAAGTGCCCATCAATCCATGAATGCATTAATAAAATGTGGTATATGTATACCATGGAGTACCACTCAGCCACAGAAAACAATGATGATCTAGCACCTCTTGTGTTATCCTGGATAGAGCTGGAGTCCATTCTACTAAGTGAAGTATCCCAAGAATGGAAAAACAAGCACCACATGTACTCACCATCAAATCGGTATTAACTGATCAACACTTAAGTGCATATATAGTAATAACATTCATCGGGTGTCAGGAAGATGGGAGGGGGGAGGAGGGGATGGGTATATACACACGTAATGGGTGGTGCACACCGTCTTGGGGATGGATATGCTTGAAGCTCTGACTCTGGTGGGGCAAGGGCAATATACATAACCTAAACATTTGTACCCCCGTAATATGCTGAAATAAAAAAAGAAGAAAAAAGTCAGAGGAACAGACATTTTTGTCTCATTCTTGACCTCAGGGAGAAAGCAGTTGGTTTTTCACCATAAAATATGATTTTAGGTATAGCATTTTATGTACATGCCCTTATGAGGTGGATGAAATTTCTTCCTATGCCTAGTTTGCTGAGAGTTTTTATCATGAGTGGATGTTGGATTTTGTCGAATGCTTTTTATGCTTCTATTGATTTGATCATTTGGTGATTCTTCTTTATTCTGTTAATTTAATAAATTGCTTTGAATGATGTTGAATGTAAACCAGTCTTGAATTTCTAAAATAAATCCCACTTGGTCACACACACACAAAAATACGAACAGTCTCCTCAACTGATAGTTACGGCCAGTGCTTTCTTTCAAAAGATAAAGTGATCATGGCAGGAAAATTCTAATTTTATGTTCCTTCAGAAACACGTGTCAGAAATGATTATTTTTTTTTTTTTTTAATCCCCCCCCACCGAAGTCCGTGTTTCAAATATGTCCATCCTTCGGGTAGTGCGCATTGCACTCCTTGTGTATACAAATACCCGTCCCCTCCTCC